CCAGAACTAGTCAGTGCTTAATTTTCTCACAGGGGAATCAGATTCTTTATTATGAGCCAAGAACAGTACCTGGAAATGCAGTATATTAAGATTTTTCCCTGAACTCTCTTTTGATGTATGGATCAAAATTCATATATGTTATTACCATCCTTGTTTTAATTACAGATCAACAGAGTGTAGAACTGCAAACTCTCAGAAGTCTTTGAACAACACGATTACCAGTTACCTTAACTCTATAGAAAATTCAGACTTTCCAAAGCCAAATAAGAATGTCATAAAAATACAACCAGATATACTTCAATAAAATTAAAAATACATAAGCAGAGATATAAAATATATCATGATTTTTTATTGACTGAAAAATGTATCAGATTATTTCACCTTTAAACCATTCTCTGAAAGTTCAAGTGAAAACTATTTTACAGAATCATACAGTTTCCAGATTAGATGGGTTCTAATATAATAGAACCAGTTTGTAAAATATAGCAGTGTTTATAATCATAGCACACATTTAGGCTATAGCTATTTAGTGTTAGTGAAGAAATCCAAATTCTTCCCTAGAATCAAATATGCTATGCCCCAGATCCCTGCCTTTGCATTCTGTAGGAGCTGCATTTATGACTTCAGAGTAGATCATAAAATTATATTATCTGAATTTAAGGTAAATTGATACATCATCTGGTTGCAATTATCAAATTTTTAATGCCTTTTTAAAGTTTTAAGTGGCCTTTAATTCAAAAATCCCAATTTTAGAATAAATGTTTTAAGTGGAAAATGATTTTTAAAATGAGTTATTAGCCGAAGAAAAGTGTAGGTCACACACCCCACCTCCACCAATACCACACACATCTCTAGAAGTTGGGCTTTTTGCTTTAAGGCAACATGTTTAGAACCACACCTGAGGCTCAAGCTTTTTATCAATTCTTCAATTTGAGGGTTGTCTTTTCCAACACAAAATTAAACTTCAGAGTTTAAAACTCTGTCAGAAAAGTAAAGAAAGAAAAAGAAAGGGAGAGAGTAGAGAGAGGGAAGGAAGGAAAGAAGAAGGGAAGGGAGTGAAAGTGGAGAGGAGGAGAAAAAAGAGAAGGCAGAGAATTATTGGTTTTAAAACAGTGCAATTCATATACTTTTTAATTCCACACACAGACATCCAGAATCACCCAGTCTATATGGCTAAAAAATCAATAAACCATATTTAATAAAAATATAAAAAAACCAAGTCCAACACATTTCAAACTTGTATTTACCATTAATAGTCTGTTTGTTGGGAGGGCATCTTTCCAAACAGGTGATACCCTATTGTCTCTGAATATCACTTTTAATTTGACAAATTTAAAATGTTTAACACCTTCCAAATTTTTTGTAAATGGACAAATCCTTTTATCTGAAAAGAGATTATCTCATAAATTAAAACTGAGCTACTTAAAGTTACTCATATTTAAATTCCAGCATCTACTTGCTGCCATCTGCTAAATTAAAACACTTTAAAATACAGCAACTGTTCCACCCCACTGGCCCTCCATAATCTAGGCTTAATCTGGAGTGGGAAGAGTATTCCATTTTGATCTATTTCCAATTGCAAGACTCAAAAGTTAAGGTGAGTCAGTGGAACAGTTAACTTCAATGTCATGGCTTCACCTGGGAAAGCCTGTCCTCGTGGTTAATGTAGGTGGGATGACATCAGAGGGCCCAACTTTCTGGGGTGTGATCCCCTAAGGTAGGCATCCAAGATAATGTTTTGTAGGCTTAATCTTCTACTAAGACAGTTTCATAGAAGACTTGCCGGCATCTCCAGGAAATTTGGAGGTGTGTGGCCACTTCGTAGTGAGCGGTTTTAAGTACAGAAGCAAAATGTAAACGTTACTGAGGTTTGTTTGGGCACTCATTGTTTTCCAACAGCCAGGGTTTTTAAAGCAGTTTTTAAAAATTTCCTCCATGCGCTGCTCCAGTGACAGGTCTAGGAACATGTACTTCCTCCACAGTATGTGGGTTTGTACTTTTGCTCTTAGAGTTTCTGCAGGTACCTGAGAAGGCTCCTGCTTACTTTTTCCTCCTAGGTCCTTAATGGGGTTTCACAACATCTCCTGGGCTTGCGACCTCCCACTGAGGGAGGCAAGGAAGCTCCGTGTCTTCCCTCTGTGTGCCTCATCCTCTCACCTCTGGCAAGGATGGGTGTTTCCAGGTGGTGGTGGTATTAGATGCTGAAGGACGTGAGGGTCCCAGGAACCAGGAAGAGAAAAAAACAAACTGTTATCTAGGGTAAACTCTGGAGTACCAGTCCCAAATTTCACAGGCTGGGCACCAGACTGAGCAGCAGTGGGGCGCCCACTGCTCTGTGGCCTGAGGAACAGGCCCAGAAAGTCCCTCTAGCCCAAGGATAGCTAGAAATAGGACACGCAGAGAAAAATACAACAAAAAAAGTCTCCTTTTACGAGGTTGGGAACAGCAGCACAGAGGAAAGACCAACAGACCGGGAGTGAGAGACCAAGGGAGGGAGAGCCGGGGGCGCAGAGTGAAGCCCCTAACCCTGTGCTGCGGGCAGGTGCGGCACAGTCACGGCACAGGTACAGATACACAGCGAGGAGATGGTGGCGGCTAAATCCTAAACCCGCTGGTGACAATAGCAGCTTGCTCGGAGACAAGCCCGTGGAAGTTTTGTAAGTGAATTTTCATTCTAGGAAACTAGTCGGAGCTTTCCTTTCTTTATACAGGAAGCCCAAGGAGTCTCCTGCGAGTGGGAACAGGGAGGAAATTTCCCAGCACTCACCACAGGGTGGCGCCAGACACCGTGGACGTAATGAGCCCCTCCCCTCCCGCTGGGCTCCGGAAGCTGGCGACGGGTCCGGGCCGGCCAGTCTCCAAGGAAACCGACATCGGCGCCCACGAAAGTTTACTCTAGCCTGAGGATAAAATAAGGCACACGGAAAATAAGAAAAAATATGTATTTTAAAGAGATGAGGACGGGTAGCCCAGAGGACAGACTGAGTCTCCCAATCCCTCCGTAAAAGAAACTTAAAAAATTTTGCCAGGGAATCCCTTGACAGGACAGGAGGCGGCACGTGGGAGAGCCGGAGGTGGAGCGGCAGTGAGGCGGCGCAGGCGGCCCGGTGGGACAGGGAGGGCGTGGGCCACGGTTGGTGGTGGAGCAGAAAAATGCCTTCTGACCGATGGATTTACATTTACTAGTATTACTCACTGACGCGATAAATGAGTCAATAAGCCCGACACGATTAACAAGTAGAAATGCATTCTATTCAATTCATCTTCTTTGCGAATTCGTTATGTTAGCTTTCGCTGTTCTGGGGTATCGTTATGGACTGATGACTTTTCAAATATATTGTATTAATTAATACCAGCCAATATTCTCCTTTAGATGCTCACATTGTCCCAACTTTGGCCAGTAGGAGTCTTTTCTAGGTAGTTTCTTGGGTCCTTTTGAATGACCCAATTATTAAAAGCCTTGCTTATTGGCCCAGCAAGGTGTAGGTGTTTAGGATTATCTTGTACCCCCCGGCCCCAGACTGACGTAGAGTCAGCTATTGCTCCAAGAAACCTTGGCTCCTTGGGAGGAAAATAGTATTAGAAACTGAAATCTGGGCATTAGAGGGCATTATGGGGGTGACTTTTCTACTGGGCCATTTCAGTAGGAAAAAAGCCAAAATATTTATAATTAAATGTTTTATAAAGACATGACTTCATACTAATATGTTTGATTCAGTTCTAACAGTACACTGTTCTTACTCAGGTTGTGGGGCCTACAATTGGCCTTCCTTGTCACTAATCCTGAAATCTAGGTTCCTATCAAAATGTACAGTTATTTACTTGCTTTGTCTAATAAGAGAATAGCTAAAAAAAAAAATACACTATCAATACAAATAGTACAAATACTGAATACAGTTTTTGTTTTAGACTGCATACGCCTACAGATGTGTTGCCAAATTACTTTGTTTTAGAGTCACTCATAATCTCTCACACGGTGTGGCTACGAAAGGACTTACCTGACTGAGAGTTTTGGTTCAGTTGTTTCCATTCACTTTCATTTTGAGACGGCTGCAACCTAGGCCCAGCTCCCGTTTCTGCTCTAGCTTTTCATTTTTCCATAAGACTTATAAACTCCAAATATACCAGATAATTCACTTAAAAATAATAATATGTTTTTATTATTGTAGTAGTAGTAGTATTTCCCCCTCCCCCACTGGAATGTAAGCCTCACGGAGCAGAGGTTTGAGTCCCTGGATCCTGGCGGCTGTTCCCTGAAGGCAGGACTAGGAAGGCTGGGCTGGACTCTGGAGGTCGGGGGGATCTGCTGGGTCGGGCACCGCAAGGGCTGCAAGAGATAGTCTTCCCTGACCCAAACGGCAGAAGCCACTCTAGGCTGCTCCCAGACACCCACTCCACTCCAGGGCTTTCCCTCAGTTCCTGCAGGGCCCAGGGATAGGCTGTGGAAAGAGCATTAGTACTGAGCCTGGCCCCCTGGACTTTGAGCACCTGGAAAGGTTTAGGCTTCCAGAAGAAGGAGAGTGAGGCAGGGAGCTGTGCCCTAGGTCCAGCATGACCACTTTGCCCAGAGCAGTCCCAGTTTACTGCTGTTGTCCTGCTGCATTACTGACCACGCCCCTCTCAGGACCAGGTGCAGGGATCAATGCACTGGAGGGGAGGAGGGAAGGCCCGGGGAGTCAGGATGTAAGTGCTCCAGGAGAGAGGGAATGGCCAGCTATGGAGGAGGCAGCCCCTCCACCATTGAGGTCTGGCTCAGTTGAATGCCTCTTGGGGACCTGGGGAGACAACAGAAGAACCGAGAAATTTCTACAAACCTATATACGACATCAGAAACGGATGGGCACTGGCACTAGTTAGAGACTCAATCAGAGGGAGGTCCGGGTCATTTCTCTGTTGTGGGCCTGGTGACAGAGGGATAGTGCCCCCAGGGTGAAGGGGCAGGGAAGAGGGAGGAGGGCAGGTGAGGACCAGTGTAGTAATATGGTCTTTATTTTTGCAAATTGAATATGTTTCCAGCTTAGGCCAAGTATAAAATTAACACACACTCTTCACAAAAGAGTCAAACACAGAGCATACAAAATGATACAAGCGAAAAGATCTTCGGCTCTCTCATACCCTGGAGAGATCCCACCAGGTGGAGATAGTGCTGTGAGCCTCTATCTGGCAGGAGGGAAACACCTGGTTGAAGCAGTTAGCCTGTCCCACGCTGCAGTGGCTGGAAGGGGCCCAGGAAGTGGGGGTGGAGATGGACCAACTCAGAGGCTCCAGAGCTGGGGGGAGGAGGGGAGCAGTGGGTGTTACAAAGCAAGACACTGGCCTTGCTCAGCAAGCCCTTCGCACCTCGAGGAACTTCCTCCCTCCGTTCCTTCTCAGATGTTGGCTCTTCACCTGGTTAGGGGGAGGGTAGAGAGAGGCTTCCAGAGGCAGGTCCTAGATGAGTAAATGGAAGGGGCTTGAGGATACCTTGAGTGAGCAGTCAAGGAAAAGAGGGTCCTCAAGGGACCACCTGTGGGGTGGGGCCTCCAGGGAAGGCCAGGAGCACCCTGACCAGGTGAGGCTTTTGCCAGCTGCCTTAGTGGGGTCCTCATGTAGCCAGAGGCTGCCCCACCCCAGGCAGCCCCTGGCTCTGGACTCCCAGGGGCTGTGCAAAAGCCTGAGACTGCTTCACCCTGCCCCAGGCCCTACCTAGAGTTGCCTCTACTCCTTAGGTGACCATAGGTGACCTTAGGTGAATATAGGTGTCCTTTGGGACCTCTCTGGACTCAAGGTTGATAATGTCACTAGAACTTTAAAGACTGCTTTTGGTCAGGAACCAAAAAAACTGCATAGGTGGCCCCTTTCTGCCCTTTAGCAACTCCAAAGGAGCACAACAAATGTCCCACTTGTTACAGACATCCTTCTGCATTCCCATCTCAGTGCACACGTATGTTTAGCTGCTGTCCTCAGGCGCACACACTCTCAACCTTTACAGTGTTTCGTGGATCCACCGTGTTTGCACATGTTCCATTTTCAGTGTGCTGTGACCTTCCTCCAGGTCACCTACTGTAGAGCTTGCTGAGCCCTTCATTTACTTCTGCACAGGCATTTGGCTTGAGGTGAAATCAACACCGTTGCTTCTGTCATTCCCTTCCTCTCCAAGGCTTCCTCTGGGAAAATGGGACTTCCAAGCCAACCAGTGTGGAGAGGCCATAATAGTTTTTATCACACATTTATGCCCTGCTCTCCAGAAAAGCTGAACCCGTCACGCTGTTCAACATCACCAGTTTCACAGCCCTGCAAGTGCTAGGGGTGTGTGTGTGTGTGTGTGTGTGTGTGTGTGACACAAAGGAATATGTGTATATACACTCAGCACTTGCATGGCTGGAGAAAGACTGTGTGTGTGTTTAGCAGGTATGTAGTTAATCTCCCCGTTACAGATGAGAAAACTGAGGACTAGAGGGATAAAGTCACTTTCCCCAGCGTCACTCAGGTAGGGAAATGGCAGCTCCAAGTCTAGAGGTCATCTGACCCCAAGTCAGTGCTCTGTCAGGCAAACCACTCTGCCTCTGTAGACAGCAGGCTCCTCTTACTTCTACTGTCCCTTGTCCATGGAGGAAAACAAACACAGCCTGTCCCCTCGTGGTTCCTGTGTCACGCAGACCAGGTTCTCAGCTTCACCCGGGCCCTTCCCCAAGCCCGCTAGATCCAGGTCCTGAAGAGTCCCTCAGAAGACAGCACAGCGGTCATGGCACACGCATCCACCTCTTCCTTCCTGCAGCTCATTAACTTCTGGGGTGAATTGGTTACTTTCTGAAAAATAATTTTTGTTAATAATCATTAGATGCTAGTAGTAGTAAAGAATATTATTAAAATTCCAACTATTTAATTTTTTTTTTTTTTTTTTGAGACAGGGTCTCACTCTGTTGCCCGGGCTAGAGTGCAGTGGCATCGTCATAGCTCACAGCAACCTCGAACTCCTGGGCTCAAGCAATCCTCCTGCCTCAGCCTCCCAAGCAGCTGGAACTACAGGTGCACACCACCACGTCTGGCTGATTTTCCTTTTTTATTTTTGTAGAGATAGGGTCTCACTCTTGCTAAGGCTGGTCTAAAACTCCTGACCTCAAACAATCCTTCTGCCTCGGCCTCCCAAAGTGCTGGAATTACAGGCATATGCCACCAAACCCGGCCTGATTAATTAATTTTCAAACAGCAAAAAACCTCAAAAACAATTCCAACTCCTAGATCAGGGGTTTCCAACACTTGCTGAGATCATACCCTAGTTCACTCTCCTATAATTCCCTTGGGGCCCTCCTTCGTCAGGGCTCCCTGCTCTGGGACCCTGCCCTACAAAAGCCCAGAATGTAATTATGGTAAAAAAAAAAAAAGTCCAACCCTCTTCCACCAGAGAGCTCTGAGAATAATGACCTGGTCTGAGATGTTTTATGAAACAGCACCTAGCACAGTGGATAGTCCAGAGAGGGTGCTCCATAAACCCTTCCCTACTCACATTTCATATTCCTGCCACCTCTTCTCCCAGCAACCCCAATATTTAATCATAACTAGTTGTAAACATGCAAATGTCAACTTTTCAGAGGGATTCTCCCACCTATTGCTAGCCTGCTCACCTCCACCAAATTCTCTAGGTTCCTCTATAGTTATCTCCCATAGCCCTTCCCATCGTCACTTCCAAGGGTGGCACATGGGCATAGACAAGTAGGCACAATGGTTTCTCCCACCTCAGACTTCCAGGAGACTCTGCTTCATTGAACCAGTCACCCTTGATCCTTGTTTGTCTTGGTGTCCATGGGCAAATACCAGCAGGAAAAGACAACATGCAAGCAGGGCTCACTAAGCGGGGGTGTTAGTGTGAGCCCACCATCAATTCACTGCTCTGGACCAATCAGATTCTCACGACACTGGCTGCCTAAATCTGCACAGGTTATACTCAATTATTTTTTAAATTCTAGAGCAGCACTGTCCAATAGAAATACAATGTGAAGCACATATGCAATTTTAAAAATCTAGTAGCACATTTTAAAAAGTAAAAAGATTAGCTGGGCATGGTGGTGCGCGCCTATAGTACCAGCTACTCGGGAGCCTGAGGTAGGAGGATC